CTCAATATGAACTATCCACCAACGCAAATAATAACAACCGCTTCGAAGCTTAAGGAGGAAAGTTGTGTGATCTACGCAAGATTGAAGTTAGAATATTTAATTTTCTTTCCTTTCACATCATTAATTTTAGAGATTGGTACGAAAAAAATAGTAATAAAACTGCACACAAAGCTAATATAGGTGACAATGAGTTGAGAACCAAATTAGTTGAAAGAAAAATATGGTCACTCTGACGCTCCTAAGGTACAGCATATAAATTTCTTTAGTTTTACTAGTGCAAGTAGAAACAAAGCAGGACTTTTATAATATATTAGAAAATTTGACAGCCATTTATTCAATCTTGAAAATATTTCAATGATTCCTGCTACCACATTGTTAACGCTGATATCGTTTATAAACAGTGACCGGTCAACAGCAATAGCTACCGTACTCCATACAATACACGCGGAATTCGAAATTTTGACGGCTATTCAGGTTAAGAATCTACTTAAAAGTATTATGACATCTCATTATTACGCACAGAATCTTTCACCACTGGTTTTAAACGAGAAAATGGTGGTAAAAATTAAGGCCAATCTAACAACTCTATACTATCAGATTGATTCGGCAGCTCACACATTTCCATTGTTTCGAAGCACTATGAAGTTTGATATTAAAGGACAAATAAAAAATAGTTCGGCAAAATTAAACAAACTCGAAACCACCTTTCATCGACTATGTAAAATGTTGCACCATCCTCGCCTGCTCCAAGAAATAGCTATGCTCAACTTTTCGATATGGGGTGAGGGAAAGGTTTATTCCAGGACGAAAATGAATTGAAATGCTTGGCACCATATATTTCCATGGTGAGTTTTCCAATAAATATAGAAACTCTTCTTCCAGATAAACTGTGACAACTGTAGATTCTATTAACAGAAAGAAGCAATTATACATGGTGAGAAAGTTAATAACAGGACCGATATCAAAATGAATAATAGCGGGCAAAAGATCTACAGCTAAACGAAACTTATCTAAAAGAATCTCCCTTACCTTGAAGCTTCTGTCACAAGTAGAGGTTTTGAAGCCTGATTTCAGGCACTTATTCCGGCTGCCCAGGTCGAAAAAGCAGACATCAGATCCTGCAAGATTGTGTAAGATCTGATCCCTACAAGATTTTTCATACGATCATACTATCATACCAAATATGTTTGTATTTTTGAAGATTTCATCAGATTCTGACTGTAAGATGTCAGCCAAAAATCTTGTAAGAATCAAAGATTAAGAAACTAACATGATCAAACTGTATGATTCCTATCCGATCTTAAAAAAACCTATCAGATTCTTCAAATAAGAAACAGATACTATGGAGTACAATCAGTCTTGTTTATTCTTATTTGATCGTAAATGATCAGCTCTATATAACATTTCCTCGAGCATCATCAACCTGATCAGCTTTATTCTGAGGGAAAGCACCTAAAAAAAACAGAATTGAGTAGTCCAATTACATTCCTTCTCTCTCTAACGCATTAGCATCCGTACGTTGAGTTTTGTTCACATTCTTTCATGTCGGTCACAGCATAGAAAACCCTTCCTTATACTTAATACGTTTTCATTTACAAACAAATCCAGCATCCAAACTTCAATTTTTAATTTTCTACACGCTGACCAAAGTGATCACACTTTTCATTTATTCTTCCAAATTTATCAACTCCAAAATGTTAAATAAATATTACATTTTTCCATATTCCTCGCGTCTAAAGTTTCAACTTCTACTATAATGTTCCGATGCCGACAATACTTAAAGTAGTACCTAGGAGAACGTTCCACATACAACTAGCACACCTAGGCACGAGTTCTAGGTAACGTTTCAGTACTCAAAAGTCAGTCCTATGTACCGCTAGCGTACCTACGAGCCGACTCTAGACAGCCTTGGAATACTGAGGAGTGAGTTTCAGGCATCCATGAGCTACTTAGAAGTGAACACAATGGACCCGTGGGGTTCTCAGGAGTGACGTCTACATACACCATTGGTGCCTCCAAGTGGATTCTAGAAACCTTCAGGGTACTTAGAAGTGACTCCTATGTGATACTTGGGCACTTAAAACTGCGTTCAATATACCTCTGCAGTACTTAGGAGGGAGTCCTAGGTATACCTCAGATATTTACAAGTGAGTTCTATATACCCTGGGGTATTCAAAAGTGAATTTCAAGTACTCCTAGAATAATTAACAGTCAGTCCAATCTATTTTTGAGATACTTAGCAGTGAGTCCTAGGTATCCCCGGGATACTTAGGAGTAAGTTTTAGGTACCGCCAGAGTACTTACGTGTGAGTTCTAGCTACCCCCAGGGTACTTACGAGTGAGTTCGAGGTATCCCCACAGCACTTATGAGTTAGTTCTAAATATCCCCACAATACTTAGGAGTGAGTCCTAGGTACCCGTCAGGGTACTTATGAGTGACTTCTAAGTACCCGTCAGGATACTTATCAGTGAGTTCTAGGTACCCCCGGATACCTAGGAGTAAGTTCTAGGTACCTCCAGTGTACGTAGAAGTGAGTTCTAGGTACCCCAGGGTACTTAGGAGTGAGTTCTAGGTATCCACACAATACTTAGGAGTGAGTTCTAGGTACCCGTCAGGGTACTTATGAGTGATTTCTAAGTACCCGTCAGGGTACTTATGAGTGAGTTCTAGTACCTTCAGTGTACGTAGGAGTGAGTTCTAGTACCTTCAGTGTACGTAGGAGTGAGTTCTAGGTACCCGCAAGATACCTAGGAGTGAGTTCTAGGTACCTCCAGTGTACGTAGAAGTGAGTTCTAGGTACCCCCAGGGTACTTACGAGTGAGTTCTAGGTATCCCCACAATACTTAGGAGTGAGTTCTAGGTACCCCCGGGGTACTGCCGAGTGAGTTCTAGGTATCTCCACGGTACTTATGAGTGACTTCTAGGTACCCGTCAGGGTACTTATGAGTGGGTTCTAGGTACCTCCAGTGTACGTAGGAGTGAGTTCCAGGTACCCGCAGGATACTTAGAAGTGAGTTCTTGGTACGTCCAGTGTACGTAGGAGTGAGTTCTAGGTACCCCCAGGGTAGTTACGAGTGAGGTCTAGTTATCCCCACAGCACTTATGAGTTAGTTCTAAATACCCCCACAATACTTAGGAGTGAGTTCTAGGTACCCTTCAGGGTAGTTATGGGTGAGTTCTAGGTACCCCATTGATACTTAGAAGTGAGTCCTATGTACTCCTGAGGTGCTTAAAAGTAGGCGTAGGTACCCATGTGTACTTAAAACTGAGTCCAATCTATCTCTGAGGTACTTAGGAGTGGGTTCTAGGTACCTTTGTATATTCACAAGGTAATCCTATATACCGTGGGATATCTGAAAGTGGTCCGAAGTACCGCTTGGGTGCTGAAAAGTGAGTCCAATCTACCTTTGTGGTACTTGGAAGTCAATCTTACGTTTGCCGGAAACAGTTTGGAGTGAGTCTAAAGTACCGCAGATGTGCCTATGGCTGAGTCCTTGGTATCGTCGGGTTGTGGAATATGGGTCCCTGTGGATTTGTGTTTTTAAATAGATTCGCATGGTTATTTAACGTTACGTTGAAGTCTAATTGATGAAGTGGGTGAAGATTCGCAATTATGTATGTTTCTGAGTGTATCTGGGAAATTATTAGTACACGGTTTGATTTCATGATATCAGATCATGTTGTAAGATCATACAAGAGTCGTACCATACGGATTGATATCAGATCGCAGGAACTACGATTTTTTGTATGATTTTTCGTATGATCCTACATGAACTTATATGGTTCTGACATCTGATCGGATATGGTCATATATGAATACATAACTGGTCTTACTATCTGTTTGCTCGACCTGGGTGCATATTTTTAGCAAAGGTGAGATATAAGATCAACATCAAAGAATTATTCAAATGTCATTCCGTTGTGCTGGAAAAGACACTCAAAACTGTCCTTCTATTTCATGAGAGGTATGGTTTTGATTTTCGCTTTGGCAAAGGTTTTCCTGTGCATACTTCTAATCTCAAAGCAGGCTCACTTATTTGCCTTCGAAATAAGGCTGCAAAACGCTATCCTAAGTCACTTCTATACTAAACTTTACATACTTATATCTTTTCGAACTGTGATGACATCAGCACAGTATGATCAGTATAGCTGATTCCAGTAAAAATACTACTCTGATTTTATGAAATAGGAAAAATGACGTAATCCTTGCGTGTCGTTATATCTTGTTTGAAACTGGATACAATCAAATCACTGAATTTTTCAAAGAAAATATTATTCTTTATGACATTCAACTGAAATAAAACTTGATAGATCTCATAAGTTTTGATAGTTGCGCTTTCCTTATCTCGAATATATCATTTTGGATTCTTCTTGCTCATGCGCTACAAAAAAATCGTCTAATTTCTTTTTCTTTTTCATCATGGCGTGCAGATGGATAAAAGAACATAGTATCCACAATCCTATACTCGGTGCTGCATAGTTATATAGTAAAACTACGGAATAAATTTGGTATCCTAGCACTTTCGTCAAAAGTTATGAATATTTTAGTTTTGCCCTTGTAGAGCATGCTACATACTTAGGGTATACCAAAAGTAATGACGCCACCGTCATAATATAGTATATAAGGCTTATGGAATTTTTTTCTCTCATATATTCTGATAGAGCAAGTTTCGCTCTATCATTCTACATATTTCATAAATCTTCAAATGTATAGAAATTTAAAAAAGTATTGAACGATTTTAAGTCGCCTGGACTTTCCTCGAAATTTTACTATGAAAATGCGAAAGAGTTTACCATGTATGCGTAAAAAACAAACAGTACGTGCATCTTTTATACATACACGTTACTGGATATGAAATTAGTCGAAAAGCAAAGAAAAGAAAATGTGCGAATATGTAAAAAGAAAAAAGATAAGAACAGAAACAACATGCTCTAGCGACACATCATAGTGCTTGCGACCTAGATCATAAGAGAATCACAACTACTCATCGCTCTTCAAATGGATAAAGAACATTTCCGTTTCTATATTAAAGTCCGTACTGCACTTCATATTCAACCAACAGTCATTCATAACGAATTACATACTGTCTTTGGTGATCAAGCTTCCCTTCTCAGAACTGTTCAAAGGTGGTCAAAATCGTTTCCTGAATGTCGAGTAGAAGTTGAAGATGAAGAAAGATCTGGAAGACCTGTAACGGAGACAACACCCGAAAATGTCGACTGGATCCGTGATCTTATCAATGATGATCCTTATCTTACAGTTGACGAGATCGAAGAACAAACGGGTCTAAGTCATGGCACTGTGCAACGAATCATTTCTGACCATTTACAGTTGAGAAAAATAACCACTCGTTATATTCCTAAACATCTAACAAATTCTCAGAAGGCTGAATGGGTGTGTATATGTCAGGAGAATTTATCAAAATTTGAACAAGGTGTTTGGAGATTAAGTGATGTGGTGACAGGAGATGAATCATGGTTTTATCACAAGCAAATCGGTCGAAAGTCGTCGAATGCTGCTTGGGTAGCACGTGGAGGTGCCCAACCAGCGGTGGTTCGACGTAGTCGCTTTGCTCCTAGAACGTTCCTGTCTATTTTCTTTAAGTCAACTGGTCCAGTTTTGGTTCATCGTGTTGAATGTGGACAAACAATTGATCATGAATATTACATCGACAATTGTTTGGCGCCTGATCTCGAAGAAATTAAGAACTAACGACTCTCTTTAGGCGTTCATGGGATTAAACTCCATCATGACAATGGCAAACCACACATTCATATAGATGTGGTCAGTTATCTGGAATCTGAAGGCGTGACGATTATGCCACACCCACCCAACTCGCCAGATCTGGTTCCGTGTGACTTTTGGTTGTTTGATTTATTCAAACAAAATCTCGGTAATCAAGATAATGCCGAGTCGTTATATGAAGCTGTTGTGAAGTTCATGAAGTCATTGAAGAAGGAAGAGTATAAAAAGACTTTCGACAAATGGACTGAACGGATGAAGTTATGTATAAACAATCAGGGAGAGTATTTTGAACATTTGTTATAATAAAACATGATGAACTTGCTGCAAAAAATTTTTTTTGACGACTCAGATACTTTTCCCCTTATACTTTGAATATTTTATTACTGTTTAAAGATTTATAAAATATGTAGAACGATAGAGCGAAACTTGCCCTATCAGAATATATGAGAGAAAAAAATTTCATAAGCCTTATATACAATATTATGAGGGTGGCGTCATTACTTTTGGTATGCGCTAAGTGTATCGGTTTAAATTATGCTTCTATGTCTTCATTATTGTTTTTCTTGATATTAAGAAGTTCTATTGATTGAACTATTAGCTACTGATATTGCGCAGCAATTTAGATAAAGCAATACTGTATAGTACATTTACGAAACAACTTTAACTTTGAACTGTACAGGAAATAAAAGTTGAAAATTTGTAATCGATTTTGCAGGGTAACCCTGTCAGTAACCGTGTCAGGACAGGACAGGATGTGTTTTTTTCTAAATATTTCTGGCCCACAGGATGGGATAAGACAGAGCAGGGTACAGGACAGGGTGAAAAAAACTGTCCTGTGGACACCTCTGGTACTTACTTCTTCGTCTCATATTTGTTGACGTTATAGAAAAACTTTTATTTTTCAACTGTCACAAATCTTCACATTGAAATAGAAATACACATCATTCTTTAAATGCAGTTATCTATGCGTAAAGTACAAGAGAGGTCCTCAAAAATCATCTCTTTTCTCCTCTGATGACTACAATAACTGTTTACATTCAATTACGAAACTAAATTTCTCGTAGCAAAAAAACAAAAACAAAAACAAAAACATTTAGATTTTCAACTATCTATCAGTTCTAAAATGATACTTAGTCTCAATAGAATATATATGAATTAATTTTATACTTGACATTCATCAAGAAAAATCATATGCTGATCTTATATTCATACAAGAAAAGTTCTTTTCTAATAGAATTAGGTTTTCTAATTTCAGTAAACCCGAAAACTAAAAAGATACATAGTCAAGAAAAACTATGTGTTGCAAAATTGAATCTGTCTATTATAGAAATTCTTGTTCAAAATATTTCTATAGCCCACATGAAATAGTCATAACATTAACGGAATATATGCATATTTTTTGAATTTTAATTCTTAAATATTTAGTAATTTCTCCTATTATGTAAAGATCTGTTTCAGTTCTATTATTAACCTCTATATTTTTAGCATTTTAAAAATGAATTGTTGTAGGTAAAATGAGAAATTTCTAGAAACGACATCAAATATAGCTTCATTTAATAATTATCAATTTAATAGTCATATAGAGTACTGTCAAATCAAAAGAGTGCGCTGTCCTTTTTTTGTCTTTTTGTAATTCTGAAATGTCAGAAAAATTTTAGTGGCTCTGAGTTCAAACAATATAAAAAGCATTTTCAGTAAAATTTTTACGGCAAATATTTGTTAAGTCGTTCGATAATCTTCTTGTTCTTCAAAAAGTCATGGAGTATACAAAAATTTAATGAGAAGAAAATCCTAATCAGGAATGACTACAATATACACATGACACTAGATATCTTTTACTTTACATTTTCGTTTTATTCAAGTCTATAAAAACAAAGACAATGTCAAGAAATTCGATTAACCTTCCGTTAGATATATCTATTTTGCTAATGGTAGCAAAATATAAGAATAAAACTAGCTAATGAATCGCAAGAAGGACACATATTTAATAAAAAAAAATGTTAAAATAATCTTTTTTGAAAAAGATTTTGAAGTGTGGGTCTTTTCTAAGATTTTTATTGTTTTCTGATTGACTTTTACTACTCAGAATGATGAAGAACCCCATTTTATACATATTTTATATGAAATCTATTAGAAAAACATGAATTCGGCAGAATGAAAACTAATGTAGATATAGTTACAATACTCGGACTCCCATTAATACAGAGGAATTCATAAAAATTTTATACATATCAAATGAAAATTTCGCAAACAATCAGTTATTTGAAAATTTTGATACTTTGCCTCTTTCAATGACTTTCCTTGCTGTCATCTGTTTCAAAACTGTTTATTTACTATCTAAACATTCAGATATATGAGTAGTTAAATTGAGAGAATGACGATATTGTCTCAAGTAATTTTCAACTTCCATTAATGTTCCTTTTCTCACACAGATACTCACAACACTAACCGTTGGCAGTAATATCAACGATAATGAGCCACAAATATTTGCAAAAGTACTGAAAACGAATAAAGTAAGTTTATTTTTTCTACGAGATCTATTTATTGCAGGTAATGATTTTCTCACAAAAATAAAAAATAGATTAAATTATCAATAGTCTGTAGTCAAATACAAGATAGTTCTTGTTATTTTCTTCAGATAGTTTGTTCACACTCATAATCTATAATTGTGAACAATGGTCAAGAATGTAATACTTATTTCAATAGGATATAAACAATATAAAGTTGACATTCTTAATAAATTACTTTCAAACTGAATTGAAGTCAATTTCTAAACAATAGAATGAAATACTACGATAATTCTAAACAAACTTGATTTTTTTTTATCTTAAGATTTTTATTCGACATGACCAATTCAAAATATATAGAAAAAGAATTTAGAATAATACAAGATTTATAATACTATTCTTTCTAGGGTTAAAGTTTTCTACTTGGATCAATTTCAGGTATGAATAAAACAGAAAAATTTCTTAATTTGGGAGATAAAAGATAGTGACATTTGGTATCTAATATATCATTACATCATAAGTAGGAGAATTGAAAATTGTGATATTCACTAGGTTTATTTAATATGCATTGAAAAGTTAAATATTCTTTTATATCGGAATTCCGATCTAATTTCAATTACAAGTTACAAAGAACGGATTTCTCAAGTACATTGTCTCAGTAACTCACAAAAATCAAATAGTTTTATTGTTGAAAAAAAATGTTTCTCTAGTTAATATTTCTCTTCAGTAGTTCTTTATTTTTTCCTAACTATTACTCGAAAAGAACACAATTCAATTATTAAATTTTGCTTTTGTAACAATATTTACTTTTCTTTTCAATAACACTTAAGATCGAATAAATTTTCATGAAAACCAATCTGCTTAATCATTCATTCATCGAACATTAGCTATAAAGAATCACTTCGTAAGCTTATTCGTGATAACGTCTGTTATACTAGCAGTTTTTCATATTTCAAACTACTTCTTCTTCTTTACTATACAAAAATAAAATACTGTGAACAAAAAAGGAAATCAAAATATCTTTCATGAAATTAATTTCTACCATTAAAAAATTGAATTTTCAGATGAAAAGTCAAAGTATATGTTTGTCTAATACTAAAATCACAAAGAATTTCTTCGAACTTGTCGCTTAAGTATTGTTTTCAAATGTTTTTAGAAATATTTATCTTTATTGAAGTAGAAAAAAATGCTTTTTTTCAGAACTAATACACAAGTATATGTATAGAATGAACAAAAAGTATTAATAACGATACTTTATGAAAGCATAGTTATATTTAAATGTATGTTAGTCTTTATTGATCTTCTTTCAGATTTTATTTTCTTCAATTTTTCTTGAAAATGTTAAATATAAATCTTAAAAATTGTGTAAACTTTGCTGAAAAAATCATTAAGAACTACAAAAAAAAAATTAGTTATTCTAATTTTCTAGTCTAAAAGTAGAATATTTCTTATAAAAAATCTTCTGAAATTCTAACATATTTAAACAGTAGAATTTATTTATGTATAAATATTTTCATTTGAAGAACTTGATATATGTATGCACATTTATTTGAATATATTTAAATTAAACATTTTAAATAATCTCATATTAAATTATTTGTGTCAAAATCATTTTCCTTCCTTTCCAACTCTCTCTCTCTATATATATATATATGAAAGAGGAATCATATTTCAACAAGTAAAATTTCTCTTTCTAGTAGCGATTCATTTTCTTCAATAATTTTTATTAATATAGAATTGAAATCCTTACTAATAAATAATTACTGCACTTTAATCTTCGGTATATTAACAATCTTAAACTACTTCTGTTTTATTTTGATTGATAAAAGCATATTATTGAGAAATTTAAGGACAATAGTTGATTTAATAAATTTTCCATTAAACTTTTATTGTTGTTTATTTCTCGCATATATATATGATGATAATCATTCTAGTTTACTATAAAATAGATAAGTAGATTAATAAGATTATAATTTTAATTAATTTCTGTTTTTATGTTTACATGGGTATACTTTTTACACAGATACTAAAGGAAATGTATTGTAGTAGAAGTCAAATTATTGACAATAGAACACAAAATCTTGCATATGCATTAAAACATAATAAATTAAGCTACTATTTCAGTTGATACATCAATTATACTTAGCGCATATCTTATCTAATCAGATTTCAAAGAAAAAAAAGAAGTAAATCAATATTTTATTTTATTAAGAGATTTAAATAGTTATAATGTTGTTTACAGGAAATATTATTCGTTCGTTTGAATCCTTTTATAAAAACTTCTTTTTATAAATCTTTATTTTCTGAGATTATTATTTCGATTACATAATTGAAATTCTTCAGTTTTTATTAAATTTAATCAGATCATGCTGAATAATCAATCATCAGTCAATATTAGATCATGAAAGTCAGATAATGATAACCAATATAGAATATTTTCGACATCGAGAAGTTTAACAT